TTGCTAATATTGCTTCTTGCTAGATCTTATTACTCTCACATGCTTTCCTATGCTTTCTTAATAGTTAAGCAGCCCCAGAGTTGCCCTCCTTAAGATGAAGAAATTAGCTGGATTTCCCTGTCTGATATTTTATGATTTTCATGGATCAAATACGATGCAGTATTTTGGATTTCCATGTGTTTCCACAAGTTTCTTTATAAAACTAAATGACGAAATATGTTTTTCATGAGTTTTATTTATTAAATGTCTGCGTGTTTATGGTTTGGTAGTGAATATATCACATTTATTAACCATGACACTCAATATGCTATTATAAGAGTTGCCTCATGGCAAAAAGTGTCGATTAAAAGAGCAGGTTTTGGGAAATGTGTGAAAGCAAGTATCGCTGTGAAAGCAGCTATCGCTTTTTTTCCTGTTTTTTCTACTGTCCATGTTCTTCATGAGCTATGGTGTATTTATGGTGATTCCTTCATAATGTTGTCCATTCTGACTCTGTGTTTCATGGTCGCCCTTCTCCTTAACTGTTCACCTTCTACCTGATTCCTTCAGAGGCTCTGAATTGCCTCTCCAATAAAGTTCAAACTATTAATGGCTTCAGGGACCCCATGGTCTGATTCTAGCCAGTGTTTCCAGCCATACTACCCAGATTCCTCATATTCCCAGTACTCCTGTTAAACTGGGCAATCGGTTGTTCCCCAGAAAGTCCTGTGCTTTTGTTTCCATGCTTTTGCTTTTCTCTGTTTTGGATATCCTCCCCAACTGGCTTCCTCCCAAGTAATTGTCTCTCAAGAGCTCCTCCATCCACTAGGGTTGAGATAAATGCCACCTATCTCACAAAGCTGTCCCTCATACTCCCTCAGTGAGGCTCAAGCATTCCTGACTTTCAGAATTGTTTATTTATCCTTCTTACAATCTCTGTCCATATTCTAATAAGGTCATTGTGTTCACATACTGTCTTCTCTATTTAATAGAAAGATCTTTGAAGACATAGACCATGTTTGTTCATACCCGCCATAGTGCCTTGCACTTAAATCCTCAATATTTTTAGTGAATATTTCTATCAGAGAAATAGAGTATCTCCATGAAATGAACACAGCCCTTTTCTCTCTTTAGAATCACATGATATAAAAGGATTTATGAGAGTGTCTTATGCAAGTTTAATAAGGTTCATTTCTAGTTAGGCATTACCACCATTCTAGTTCCTTTAAAAAGAAACTCCACCTTCATGGAGGATAAGGATATATGAACTAGCATTTTCAAGTTTCTGAATAGGCCAGGCATGGTTGCTCACGCCTGTAATCCCAGCACTTTGGGAGGCTGAGGTGGGTGGATCGCTTGAGCCCACGAGTTCGAGAGCAGCCTGGGTAACATGTTAAAATCCTGTCTCTACAAAAAATACAAAAATTAACTGGCCGTGGTGGTACACACCTGTAGTCACAGCTACTCGGGAGGCTGTGGTGGGAGGATCACCTGAGTCTGGAGAGGTGGGGGATGCAGTGAGCCATGATTGTGCCACTGTACTCCAACCTGGGTGACAGAATGAGACTCTGTCTCAAAATTAAAGAGTTTCTAAATAGAAAGTCAAATACCACGTTTTCACTTATAAATGGGAGCTAGACAATGGTACATATGGACATACAAAGTGGAATAATAGACATTGGAGGCCACCAAAGGTGGGAGGGGTGGGGGAAGAGAGGGTTGAAAAATTACCTGTTGGGTATGATGTTCATTCGTGGGGTGATGGGTACACGAAAAGCCCAGACTTCACCACAGCATAATATGTGAAATCTGTACTTGTAACCCCTCGATATATAAAAATGTTAAAAAAGTTTCTGAATATGATTTTCTAGCCGTGTTCTCTTTCTAAAATGCATTTATTTCCCATAGGAGTTGGGCCTCCTGCAGTTACGTGAAGGTGCCTCAGGAAAAAGCATGAGGTCTGCACTGTGCTGCTTAACCATCTTAGCTTTTCATACTTACATCTCCCTAATACTTGGTAAGATCTGGATTAGATTGTTTCATTGAACATTGATTATCTTGGCCAGACATGGTGGGTTACACCTGTAATCCCAGCTACTTGGGAGGCTGAGGTGGGAGGATCGGTCGAACCCAGGAGTTTGAGGCTGCAGTGAGCTATGATCACGTCACTGCACTGGATCCAGCCTGGGCAACAGAGTGAGATCCTGTCTCCAAATTAAAAAACAAAACAAAAAGTTGATTATTTTTAATCTGAGTAAGTAAAAATTTAGAAAGATCAACAAAAGCTAGTAGTTCATATCTGCTTACTTATTTTTTTTTTTTTTTTGAATAAAGGTAGAAAATAGTGTCCTTTGTCATAGTGACATTTAGCAGAGGGAGTAGGGTAGTTTCTTTCATTAAATAATTTTCATCTGTTCTCAGCTAAAATTTCTATATTAAGGTGGTCTATTTTATTCTATACTAGATTTCTTTGCAGAAAATGAAATTTTGGGCTAAATAAGTTAATATTGCTATTAAAACCAGAAATTCCAATTAGGAATCTGAGACAGCCACCTGCATTCTTAAGAATTAGTGTGTCCTAGAGTTTCTTCAACTAAAGTTATAGGTGAGACTGGTCTTTATTTTATTCCCCAGTTATAAAAATGATGAAATAATAGTTTTCATCTTTTCCACGAGTAGGTCTTTACTGTATGTTAATGAAGTTTGGAGAGTTAGTTATAAATATCCCCATGCCTTATGAAGACTGAGGTTTTTCCTGTTAAATTTCTAGGTACAGGAGAAGTGAATGTTGCCGAAGCTGAGCGTCTCCTGGCACCCTTCCTCCAGCAGTTTCCAAATGTACGCTTAGTATTTCAAAGTGTATGTTTCAACCATAACTAATCAGCCAGTGTGGACTGTTGAGCAGTGTGTTTTCTTCCTTGCTCTGCAGGGCTCACTCGTGTTGTTTTATCATGCCCGAATAGAGCTGCTGAAAGGGAATCTTGAAGAGGTAATTCATTAGGTGGGAGTTATTTGGGGGAGTTGTCTGTATGGTGGAGCTGTGACCTACTCATTCAACAAAAGTAAACTTAGCTATATGGACTAGACAAAAATAAAGGAAAAAACAATATAAGTAAAAAGCCAAAACTTTTAAACTTGTGTATACATTCTATTGTATAAAATCTATGCAGTGGATTACTGAATGTAGTCTACATTTATACACAGAGTACATTAAGCACTTTAGGGTAGTATATACCAAATAATAAGCTCAGGGATTTTCAAGAAACTGTGACTGTTACCAATTTCTGCGTTATACACTGACTTTGGAATCTAGCCCCTGCATGACATGCAAGTCTACTACATGTGGGCTCCTTATCAAAGGAAATTATTCACCAATTCCCTCAAAAAAGGAAGTGTCGGGGTCAGAAGTAGAAAAGTAAGGAGCCATTTATGGATATACATTCACAAACCATTTTTTCCACACAAATGGGATCAAACATGTATTTTTCTGTGATTGGAACCTCCCCACTCCCACATTACAAAGTGTCAAGGCCCCTCACAAAATTAAAGAAAGAGGCAGAACTTAACTGTATCATTGCCTGTAAGGAAAAGAACATAACATCATATTGAGAGGTTGAATGAGTGATAATTTTGTCCTTTTTGTACTAAGTGTTTTATGTATTTTCCCATTAGGTTATTATCTCCTTATCTAATATCTGGATGATCAACTTCATGCAATTGATTTACAGGCACAAGAAGTATTTCGAAAATGTGTTTCAGTTCAAGAAGAATGGAAACAGTTTCACCATCTCTGCTACTGGGAGCTAATGTGGATTAATGTTTTCCAACAAAACTGGATGCAGGCATATTACTATTCAGATCTGCTTTGCAAAGAGAGTAAATGGTCCAAGGTAAAGTGCAATACTTTCATTAATGTCATCTGTTTGCTAATATGTGGCCAGGAAGATTTTCATTTGGGACTGTTTGCTCGGTAGTATGGTACCACAGTGTTTTCTCAACTTAGAGATTCACAAAAGGAGGAAATGTGCCTTAAGTACCCACTGTTTATAGGTACTGTCCTCAGCATTACATGCTTTAAAAGCCATCCACAGTTCTTTTCAGGGCCAAATACAATGGCCCATACCTATAATCCCAGCCCTTTGGGAGGCTAAGGCAGGAAGATGGCTTGAGGCCAGGAGTTTGATACTAGCCAGGGCAACATAGTGTGATTTTTATCTCTGCAAAAAATAAAAACCTTAGCCAGGCATGGTGGTACATGTCTAGAGTCCCTTCTACGTGGGAGGCTGAGGCAGGAGGATAGCTTGAGTCGAAGAGTTTGAGGCTACAGTGAGCTATGATCACACCACTGCACTCCAGCCTGGTGACAGAGTGAGATCCTGTCCCAAACAATAACAAAGTTATTTGAAACGTGAGGTTTTATCTCTGAAAATGAGCTGGACTTATGAAGTTATGAAACCTTAATCATCTTGATAATTTTTGTAGACTTCCCAGTGCCCTGATGCCCAGGCTTTTCGGGATAATGAAAATTAATTCTGATCCACTTATGAGAAGTTGGGGGGCAATGAGATAATTTTTTCTTGTTCATTCTGTCCACTTTCTCACCTATGAATGCTGTAGTTGTGTAATAGAAAAATGGTCTAAATTATTGATAATTGAAAAGAGTTGTTGTCATTTTGAACAGGGATTATAAGATTTCATTTCCTCTGATTAATGCCTGTTAATATTATATCTGGAAGGCTTGTAGGTCATTTCTGATTTGAAAGGTAGAAATGTTATGTACCTAGGGATGTTCTGTAATAAGCTCCTTCTTTTTCTCAAGGCAACTTATGTGTTCTTGAAAGCGGCAATTTTGAGTATGCTTCCAGAGGAATAGGTGAGACTGGTCTTTATTTTATTCCCCAGTTATAAAAATGATGAAATAATAGTTTTCATCTTTTCCACGAGTAGGTCTTTACTGTATGTTAATGAAGTTTGGAGAGTTAGTTATAAATATCCCCATGCCTTATGAAGACTGAGGTTTTTCCTGTTAAATTTCTAGGTACAGGAGAAGTGAATGTTGCCGAAGCTGAGCGTCTCCTGGCACCCTTCCTCCAGCAGTTTCCAAATGTACGCTTAGTATTTCAAAGTGTATGTTTCAACCATAACTAATCAGCCAGTGTGGACTGTTGAGCAGTGTGTTTTCTTCCTTGCTCTGCAGGGCTCACTCGTGTTGTTTTATCATGCCCGAATAGAGCTGCTGAAAGGGAATCTTGAAGAGGTAATTCATTAGGTGGGAGTTATTTGGGGGAGTTGTCTGTATGGTGGAGCTGTGACCTACTCATTCAACAAAAGTAAACTTAGCTATATGGACTAGACAAAAATAAAGGAAAAAACAATATAAGTAAAAAGCCAAAACTTTTAAACTTGTGTATACATTCTATTGTATAAAATCTATGCAGTGGATTACTGAATGTAGTCTACATTTATACACAGAGTACATTAAGCACTTTAGGGTAGTATATACCAAATAATAAGCTCAGGGATTTTCAAGAAACTGTGACTGTTACCAATTTCTGCGTTATACACTGACTTTGGAATCTAGCCCCTGCATGACATGCAAGTCTACTACATGTGGGCTCCTTATCAAAGGAAATTATTCACCAATTCCCTCAAAAAAGGAAGTGTCGGGGTCAGAAGTAGAAAAGTAAGGAGCCATTTATGGATATACATTCACAAACCATTTTTTCCACACAAATGGGATCAAACATGTATTTTTCTGTGATTGGAACCTCCCCACTCCCACATTACAAAGTGTCAAGGCCCCTCACAAAATTAAAGAAAGAGGCAGAACTTAACTGTATCATTGCCTGTAAGGAAAAGAACATAACATCATATTGAGAGGTTGAATGAGTGATAATTTTGTCCTTTTTGTACTAAGTGTTTTATGTATTTTCCCATTAGGTTATTATCTCCTTATCTAATATCTGGATGATCAACTTCATGCAATTGATTTACAGGCACAAGAAGTATTTCGAAAATGTGTTTCAGTTCAAGAAGAATGGAAACAGTTTCACCATCTCTGCTACTGGGAGCTAATGTGGATTAATGTTTTCCAACAAAACTGGATGCAGGCATATTACTATTCAGATCTGCTTTGCAAAGAGAGTAAATGGTCCAAGGTAAAGTGCAATACTTTCATTAATGTCATCTGTTTGCTAATATGTGGCCAGGAAGATTTTCATTTGGGACTGTTTGCTCGGTAGTATGGTACCACAGTGTTTTCTCAACTTAGAGATTCACAAAAGGAGGAAATGTGCCTTAAGTACCCACTGTTTATAGGTACTGTCCTCAGCATTACATGCTTTAAAAGCCATCCACAGTTCTTTTCAGGGCCAAATACAATGGCCCATACCTATAATCCCAGCCCTTTGGGAGGCTAAGGCAGGAAGATGGCTTGAGGCCAGGAGTTTGATACTAGCCAGGGCAACATAGTGTGATTTTTATCTCTGCAAAAAATAAAAACCTTAGCCAGGCATGGTGGTACATGTCTAGAGTCCCTTCTACGTGGGAGGCTGAGGCAGGAGGATAGCTTGAGTCGAAGAGTTTGAGGCTACAGTGAGCTATGATCACACCACTGCACTCCAGCCTGGTGACAGAGTGAGATCCTGTCCCAAACAATAACAAAGTTATTTGAAACGTGAGGTTTTATCTCTGAAAATGAGCTGGACTTATGAAGTTATGAAACCTTAATCATCTTGATAATTTTTGTAGACTTCCCAGTGCCCTGATGCCCAGGCTTTTCGGGATAATGAAAATTAATTCTGATCCACTTATGAGAAGTTGGGGGGGCAATGAGATAATTTTTTCTTGTTCATTCTGTCCACTTTCTCACCTATGAATGCTGTAGTTGTGTAATAGAAAAATGGTCTAAATTATTGATAATTGAAAAGAGTTGTTGTCATTTTGAACAGGGATTATAAGATTTCATTTCCTCTGATTAATGCCTGTTAATATTATATCTGGAAGGCTTGTAGGTCATTTCTGATTTGAAAGGTAGAAATGTTATGTACCTAGGGATGTTCTGTAATAAGCTCCTTCTTTTTCTCAAGGCAACTTATGTGTTCTTGAAAGCGGCAATTTTGAGTATGCTTCCAGAGGAGGATGTAGTAGCAACTAATGAGAATGTGGTAACTTTATTCAGGTATGTGAGACACTATTTCTATAACAAAGGCCCTGAGGGTATAAAGGGGCAAAATCTCATCTCTACTAAAAATACAAAAAATTAGCTGGGCATGGTGGCATGTGCTTGTAGTCCCAGCTACTTGGGAAGCTTAGGTGGGAGGATTGCTTGAGCCTGGGAGGTAGAGGTTGCAGTGAGCTGAAATAATGCCACTGCACTGCAGCCTGGGCGACAGACAGAGTGAGACCCTGTCTCCAAAAAAAAAAAAAAACAAAAACTGACCATGTATATTAACTGTAGCATCAACATCAACATTAGTAAAAGCCATGGCATGATAAATGTCACCTTTTACTGTAAAGTTCATTTCCTCATTTTACAGAAACAACAATTAATGGAAGGGAGTATTAAGATACATTAAAATCTTTTAAATCTCCTTCTCTTTCTTCCAATGCAGATTAAGTTTTCTCCGTATCAAAACAATTTATGTGAAAGATGTAATCATTTTTATTTTCAGAAGAAAGCTTTGAGATCTTGCTCTGTCGTAGCTTCTAGGTTGTGGGGATAATGAGAGTTCTAACAATGAATGGTCTCTTCATAAAAATGCTGTTACCTTTCAACTACAAGGGTTCCTGTCTGAGACATGCTTCTGACCCCTTCCTCTGACCCCCACCTCACATTTCCACTGTCTTTTCCACTGATGGTAATGAACATAGTGATGGTACACTAGTTTAAAATCCATAGCTCCATATTGTGCCCACAAGTAACCTAACACAAGCTTACCTCATATTGGAGGCATGTTATTTCATGTTAATTTTTCTTTCAGTGAAGTAATTATTTCCTTGAATTCTTTCTCAGCAACTTGTTTGATGCATTCATAGAATTTTGCATAAGAAAGTGCTCGCAGGAACATGTAGTTTCCCCATCTTACTCTCATTTTTACCTGCTTATGAATTTCATAATTGGAATTCTGTAGAATTTTTAAAAGGAAGTTTGTAAACACGGTACATGTCCTAAGCTGATTATTTCCCAAACAACCTATACTTGGGAAACATTTTCTTAAATTATATATTAACTGATGGCTATCTTTTGGGCTATATTATTTTACAGATCTGTGTAATACTTGCAAGTAAGAATAGGCGATATACCAGTGTACCGTATTCTCTCTCCCTGAGTAT